GTAGGCAACGCGTCGCTCCCCCGCACGGACGGGGCGGGCGCGGTGGCGGTGCCTACCCCGCCGGGCGCCTCGAGGGTCGTCCTGCGCCGTCTGTTACGACTGGCTCTGTCGGGCCTCACTCCTCTCTTCCTGTATACTTGGTATCGCATCCGATCTGCGCATGACGGTGGTTTGTGGATTTTTTCACGCGGGCATGGCAATACCTTTTATTTCTATCTACGTGCCCTTCCAGACTCACAAAGAACCTCTCTCTCTCTCTCTCTCTCTCTCTCTCTCTCTCTCTCGCTCTCTCTCACTCTCTCTCTCTCTCTCTCTCTCTCTCTCTCTCGCTCTCTCTCACACTCTCTCTCTCACACTCTCTCACATGCACACACACTCACACACGCTTACTCATAGTTTGCGTAAACAGACTCACACACACATAATACACACACACTGCGCCTGTTCTATGACAACGACAACCAAATTGGCGATAAACTGTTTATGGCCCGCACTCCTTCCTCTCTTCTCTTCCGAATTTCTCTCACTCTTATTTCTTCCTCTTCTTGCTCGTTCCTCCTTTTCGGCTCCGGACCAGTCTTAGTTTGTTGTTCACTCCTTTATTCTTGCACCGAAAAAACAAATAAACTGACTTTTTTCTCAATTTTAAGGACATGCTAAATTTCTTTGGCTTCGTTTCCTTGTTAGAAAGGGAAATAATGGTTAAGGTAAGACCAGATTATACCCGTTGGGTGCCATTCTGGCTTCCAAACGTAGTTTTGTTTTTGTAAACGAAGTTACGTAGAACACAGTTATTCAAATAATGTATACATTGCTTAAGGGTATAACGTCGCCATACGTGTTCATTGCTGTTTTTCTCCGAGCGGTACATTTACATCGTACGCGCTGACCGGCTGCGGCGGCGTTAGGCACGGTCGTTGGAGAGGACGGCGAGGAGGTGAGAGAGAGGTGCGCGCACACCAGTGTGGCGTCCAGCCCCTCCCAGCCCTAACAGAGACAAGGCAGCCCCTCTGGGCTCCACCGGGGCAAACATATACGCCCCCCTCCTCTCTCCTCTGTTCTACGTTGTGCCCCCCCCCTCCCCCCTCACGCACAAACAGGACGCTGTATGGCGGGGTCACTTCCGGCTTGGCGCCCCCCTAACTGGCTCGAGTTAATCTTCATACTTCGCATTAAGGACGTCGTCTGCTAATGAGCAAGAATAATACGGCCCGCGTCACGACGCATCAACCTTTCTCCTTATCATAGCACCCACTTGTTATTTTCTACTTTTCTTTCTTTTTTGTTGAAACTAAGCGTAGACTTTTACGAAATGTTTTACTGCTGCTGGTATAGACACGCGGCAGAGTTACTTTCTTTTTCTCTGCTCGACTCAATGGGCCGCGGTTGTGGCAGATGCCGTGGAACGGGCTGGCGGTCGTCGGTATGCAGGGCACGGAGCTGCCCCCTACCACACCCCCCTTTATTTCCCGACTCATTTTAATTTCATTCGCCGCACGGGTCCCTTTCTATTATTACGGCCCCGGCAGACTCAGGCTCACCTGGGCCACCGTCTTGCCCTTTTTCTATTTATCGCTGCCTTTCGACCGAGTATGGCGCGGGGATGGAAAAAGACGGGGGACTGTCGGGCCGACCGTGTCCCGTGTCCGCCGACCCTTACCTACTTCGTAGTAAGTAACTGCTCCGCTGTGGGCTTTCTGTACTGTGCCTTTTATCGAAGTGTGTCTACCCAAAATGTGCAATGAGACCGCAAGTGTGTTAATGTCGCACCTTGTAGGCGCGTGAATCGGTGTAAATGTCCGCCCGTACACTTTTTTTATTTGCTTTGAAATTTACACACATATGTTTCTATGATGCACGACCGTGTTCACATACCTTCGAATGTGCGATTTTCAAACACTTGCTGAGTTTCTGATGTAAAACCAGCTGTCCAAAATCATAGCAAAAAGAAATAGTGCTGGGAGGTTTCTAATAAATGTATGGAAAAGAAATAACTATGGGTCATGCCCGCGTTTTAGTCGCCTTAAACTCGAACGTCTTGCAGTCAAACAGCTCGTTGCCTGCCCGCATGGTCGCTGTGCCTATCCACACGTAGCCCGGCAGGTCTATGAGCTTCCCCGCGTCCTGGATGTTGATCTTCACGTTGGTCATCGTGTAGTTGCCCTGGGTGGCAGAACGGGAAGTAAGTCAACTGACAGAGTATATGATATAAGACCGCCCCCCCCCCTTCTCTCACTCTC